AAGAACTAGAGAGGATGTGGAAAGTCAAGGCCAAAGTGGTCCCAGTGGTGGTAGGAGCTCTCAGGGTTATGATTCCTAAGCTGGGAGAGTGGTTCCAACAGATCCCAGGAACAACATCAGAGCTCTCTGCCCAGAAGACTGCAATGCTAGGAACAACTAAGATACTTCACAGAACCCTCAAACTCCTAGGCCTCTGATAGAGGACCCGAGATTGAGGAAGACACATACCACCCATAGGGATGAGAAGGGATTTTTTATATAGATATATAGACAAACTCACTGAAATCTGATCAATAACTGATAAAGATCACTACTATACTACTACTCCTAGACAAAACTATAGTTTTTATTTCACATTTCATTGAGATAGATAACATGACTGCTAGAGATAGTAACATGCTGTCATCTGATCATCTATTCCTTTTTCACCTGCTCCATCTCAGTAATCAAAGCTCTTGTCTTCTGCTTAAAGGCTGCAAAACTTTCTGTACAGAGTCACCCAGAATAATAATACTGTATATGGTACAGGAACCATAACAGGAAACAGTGATACACATGGTATCTGAAAAATGCTCTTATCAATCCTGCCAGGAAGCAAATTATAGACATACTAGATCTAAAATTATTTTGTATGTATGTCTGTATTCATTGGTGTGTTCTGCAGAGGACTTCCTGCTTCCATTACTTTGCTACCAAGGTACTACAATAGGTACCTAACTACTTTATTTTCTCCAAAAACCTGTAAGTGAAGCTGAAAAAGATTGTCCAAGTCTGCAAAGTGATCTTCGGACTAAACAACACTATCTCCATAACTATATAGATTGTTGTTCCTAAGGATTCTTCCAAAATGTAACTCTCTTATATGAAATATCTACATGTGATATTAAAAACACCATAAATATCCAGAATTCCCAATTAAAAAGCACATGAAGAATGTTATTTAAAGGCAAAAGAAAGGCTGAGCTCCAGCTAAAGGTTGTGCATGCTGTTCTTTTTGTCTTCATCTGGGTCTTCTGAACCCTTCATGAAGAGTGCAAGCTTCAGTTTTGAACAACAGTACAATACTGTACAGCCATTCTGAATATGTTATATGTATAAGGAAGGGTGGTAATATATGAAATCACACCTTCTGTTTGCCTCACCCAGATCTGATTACATCTCTCATTTATAGCAAATATGAAATAACAGGATAAATAAAACAATGTAACATGGAAGAGTAAGTTGTACATACACAGTTCATCTTATTCTGTAGCAAATACTGTGTCATAGCAAATGGAAAAATATAATCCAGTCTGAATGTAAAAATGTGGTCCTAATGAATTAAACCAGAATTAACACCACTTGACATGACCCTTCTCTCTCCTTATATAAAGATGACTTTAAGCGAGTGTTTCCTATGCAAAATAAAAGCTCAGCTTGATTATAATAGAGCTGCTACATCTGGGGTGCAAAACTTCACATCATCAGTAGCACAGTACAGGGTTTTCTGTGACTCTTTCCTGCCATCTGGTGGTTGTCTGGGTTTTTGTAGGCCAGACACAGCAACCTTAGTTTTAGAGATGAAAAAGATGTAGAAAATGATCAAGGGGCTGAAACACTTTCCTTTTAAAGAAAAAATAGCGTTGTAGGGATTTTTTAGTTTCCAAAACAACAGCGAGAAGATCCTTTGACAAGACTTTGTAGTACTATGAAGAATTAGGTAAAGAAAACTCCAGTGAGCTATTATGTAAAGCTATTAGGTAAAGAAAACTCCAGTGAGCTATTATGACTATATTTGAAATGCCATGTACCCTAGCATGCCCTAGCAGTTTGCCATCAAATACCAATTAGGAGATAGGGTAACAACTAGCAGGAAGAATTGTTTGGCACATTCCTACTCTACTTATTGGAGGCATCTCACTGGAAAGGGGATACTAGACAAATGGAGCCTAGTATCTAATCAAGAAAGACTGTTCTTCTATTAGACTGTCTCTAATCCATATTGCTACTATTTGTATCATATAATATTTCTGTAGCTTGGGAACCTCATATAAGAACCCTAAAAGTCTTTGGGACAGCATTCACAGAATATGACTGAGGAGAGATGTGGACGGGCCTGTCAGTTCCTAACCTGTCTTGACCATCTGCCATTCTCCAAATGAAACTTCGGCCAATTCGTGTTATCTGCATTGATTCCCTCGTATGGTGCAGAATGAGAGGGAACTATCAAGAATGAGGAAGGGCAGCAAACATTGCTCCCTGCTGGTGCCACTGGAGCCCTCTGTAAACCTCCTTCCACATGGAAAAATCTTGTTCAGATCAATCCAGTCTACATTTTTCTGCAGGGGGGGGGGATTGTCCTCCCTCAAGGACCTACATAGCACACATTACAATGTCAAAAATGATTAAAAACTGTAATATTGACATTGCTGCCTGGAATTAAGTACCCATCCACCAGGTATCCCTTGCAAATACATTTAGCAGCAAAAATGGTGGGAGAGTCACGGGTTACCTTTTCAGTCCTACAGTTGTTTAGACCCATATTATTCAGGGTGGGAAGTTTCCCATCAATATGTGGCTGCTGCTGCTGCTGCTCCCGCTGGATTTGTTCTCTCATCTTTCGAGCCTCCTGAATTGCTTTCATTACAGTGTCCTGGTCCCCAAATAGGGCAGGTGAGTTAAGACTGGAAAGGATGTCTGGAAAGAACAGAAACAGAAGAAAGGGATTTGGAACAGTGCCTTAAAACTTCCCCTTTTCAAGAGGTCTACATCCACACACACAGCCATTTCAGCTGTTGCAAAAATTAAAGCCTGTAACTTTAATATTAAAATGGATACCAGTTTAGATTTGGGCAACAGCTGTAATTTTGTTTTCCATCCTGAATGATATTTCATCAGAGATAAATTCTCCTGAATTAACCAAAATAATTATTATATTAATGGTTGAATCAAAATACTTGATGCCTTTTAAAGTCAGAATTTCAGTATATTTTTCAATCCTAGCCCAACAGCTCAGAATGTACCTAGACAAGTATTTTGCTTTGTATCTGCAAATCTATTTTATTAATCAACATTCATGAAAAATTCACATTATGTTTTGTTACAGTGGTTGATATTTCCAAATATTAACTGATAGAATTTATTGCTGTTTTATTTCTTTTCCCATTATGAAGCTGCCAAGTTGAACCCAAAACATTCATGTTAACTACATTCATCTATGAAGCTTACAGAACATAAAAAGAATTAAGTCCAGTTCCATTTTTACCACAATATTCAGTGATTGGAGATGTTGTTCCTGAAGAAGCAAGGAAGACCCTAACCCTTACATTACTTGAAGGTAATACTTGTTTATCATACAAAGCACTTAATGAAGCAACTTTTGAAATGGAGAGTGAGGTACAACTATGATGTAAACTTTCTAGGGTGCTTTTTGAAATCCAATGCGTATTTCGAATAATCCTGGATCCGAGGCATTGTAGCCATGAAATGGCACCTTACAGCATATCTGCGTGAATTATCACTACAGTATAAGCTCAAAGCTGTAAATAAACTGAAACAATATATTTTAATTCCAGCTCTGATCAGAGACACTGAGAAGCAAGTTTGTATGGTTATTAAATAAATACTTGTTACTTCCACAGTTGGATTTAATTGTATAAAAGATTACTTGTCTATGTTTAGATCAAAGGATAAAAATAATTTGGTGTTAGGAGTATTTAAACTACATGCTTTTGCTCAGTTTAGGTAGATGTGCCAACTGGGTAGGTTTCTTGAGGCTTCCTTGGCCATGATCATATGTGATTTAGTTACAACCATTTGGATGACTGCATTGTGCTTTCTGGAGGGCTGCTTTGTAGGGTGTTCAGAAATTGCTGCAAGCACAGGATAAGGCAGGCAGCCTGCCAGTAGGGGCTGCATAACAAAAGCATGTGCCATCCTTATTACAACTTTACAATCCAGTTTGTTTCAGGCCCAGCTGAAATATTACTAATTCACTATGAGCCATCAAATTGGTATCAGCTCTTAGCAATCACACAGACTTTCTCCATGATGATCTGTCCCTAAGCTGATCCTTCAGGTCTTCCAATAGTGCACCGATCACTACTGTCACTGAGTCTGTCCACCTTGCTGCTGGTCTTTCTCTTCTTCTCTTTCCTTCCACCTCTCCGAGCATTAGAGCCTCCTCCAGAGAGCTAGGTCTTCACATAATAGGTCTGAAGTAGGATAATTTGAGAGTGATCATTTGTGCCCTGGTGCTTTGTTCAATGATCCATTTGTTTGTTTTCTTGGCTATCCATGGTATTCTTGGGGGTCTTCTCCAACACCAAATTTAAAAGTGTTAATACTCTTCCTATCCTACTTCTTCAAAGTCCAACATTCCCTTCCATAGAATGTCACAGGGAGTACCACTGTCTGCATTATTCTGAACTTTGTAGGTACAAACACATCATGGTATCTGAATATTTTTCCCATGGCCTTCATGCTGCTTTACCAAGTGCTAGTCTGCAGCATATTTAACAGCTGTTCCTTTACTGTTAATGTTTGTTCCTAAAAGGCAGAAGCTGTCTACCACTTTAATATCTTCATTATTAATTCTAAGGCTGGTTGTTGTACCTGTTGTCATTAGTTCGGTCTTCTTTATATTTAATCTTAGACCCATTTTTTCACTGTGCTCCTTGACTTTAATTACTAGAGTTTTCAGATTGTTTGCATTTTCGGTAGTACCTCTATCATTTATTTGACTGATCATGTCAGTCTACCAGGGTTGGGACTGGTTAGCATTTGGACTGGGAAGTCATGAAAATATCCTGAAAGAAGGCAGTCACAAACCAATCTCCATAGAGTTGCTCCATGACTATGTCAATAAATTTATCTGAAGACAACCATAGGGGTGTGCAGCACTTCAGAAGTGAAACTAAGGTCAAACCTGCTTCAGAGGGGGAATGACAATGCAAGCTGCACCTGTTGGCACCTCCTTAGAGAATCTGTGTGTGTCCAGAAAATTTTGCGTTTGAGTTAAGGAGATGTTTGGAAAAAGGATGGGTGTGCTGCCAGTGCCTCCAGGGAACATGTGGCTACTGCATGAACCCCAGAAAAGATGCAGCTTTTTAAAGGAGGTCCTGATAGATGCAACAGGACCTTCTTAAAGAAGGACATGCCCAATCTGAAGCACCTTTTCAGCTTCAGATGTGAAGAACTGAACATCCCTAGTTTTTGTTGTTGTTATTATTATTAGATTTAATATAGCTGCCCACTCCAATGGACTAGTTGAGCATAACTCAAAGAATTTACTTTTTAAAAATTTATCTTTATTTACCTATTGAAAGGACTTCCCTCATAAGAACATGTAAACCTACTGAGATGAAATAAAAATCTAAGGCCCTTCTGAGTGTCCAACATACCCACAAATAAGTCATTTGGGATCAGAGAGGCCTCCTTTTCAAAGGAGTATCTTGAAGGAGGGCTGGAATGGTTCTTTAGTGTTTTATCTTTGCTGCATTGCATTTATTGTTGTCAAGCTGTTTTAAAATTGCCAAATCATTGTTTTAAAATTATTAATTGCTTTGGGCAAAGGAAAAGTGGAACATGAAGTCCATGGCTTCTCCTGAAACAACTGTTTAAATTTATATGTCTTTTAGTAGTCCTGAAGCTCTTAGGCAGGATGCTTCTGCAAATTTCAAATGCCTACTGCCCTAACACATCAGAAAGTGCAGGGCTGCATCCATAAACTTTCTGACAGTGAAAATAAGAAATTAATAGGATTCAATAAAATACACACCAGTATTTTTGTATATTGTACATAATAGTTCTTTTCTCTTTTAATGCTTCAACAGGATTATATCAAATTGATTACATTAATTATATAAATTCACTATAAATATTCAATTTCCTTAAAAAAAAACTTCCAAAATTTCCTGCCAGCATGATCATTGCTGAGAATTTTGAGAGTCCACAAGGCTTGGGGAAGTTATCTTAAGGTTTAATAAATATGTTATGACAAAGCTTTCATGCAACAAAAGTCAATCACCTGGTAAATGTTAAGAAACCTTGAATATTCCTGGTTTTGCAAAAAATAATATGAAACTAGACCCACAGAAGACCAGAGACATCCCTTTTGAAATTACCCATCTTTGTCCCTTTTTGAGTACCTAGAGAAGATCCTCTTCCCAGAGTCGCACCAATAGGACTGGGGATTCCACTTTTATTGGCCACATTCACAGGACTGGTTTTACTTGTAGGAAAGAGGCTCTGGGTTGGCGATGTTGGGGATTTGACAGGTTCTGCTGTCTTGGGTCTAGCTGAGAGATTCAGTGGCTGTGCAGCATCATCCTAGAAGAGTTTAATGTAAATAATTATTAGAAGAAGACAAATGAAACACATTATCACTTAGGAAGCCACAGCTATTTTACACCTCCCAGACAATGCTGCATTTTCCTGCAATAATAACAAAAGAAGCTAATTATCTACACTCCTTGAAGATTCAATGAAAGAGAAACCTCATTAATTTCTCTGTGCTGTGCCTCTGTTTACATTAACTATGTGGCTAGATCGTTCTTTTTGACAAATTAAAATCTGAATTAGCTTGCATTACTGTTTAATTTCCTAATGTGTTTTCTGAGATCTAAATTAACCCAGGGCATTCACAAAGAATGATTAAAAAAACATCTAACCAGCAATGTTGCAGTGTTCTACTGGGTCTACTTGGAAACTTCTTAAACTACATATATGACATATATGTTGTTAATGTGCATGTGAGTGAGGAGCAGCATTATGGTAAAAATTTAAAAGAACATTAAGTGACATAATTATTTGTTTTAGTTTATCTGCATACAGTATATCTATGATCCTGTTGCTACTCTGTTTATGAAAGACTTTTCGAATAATCTTAGTAGAATTTTATTTCTGCATTTCTTTCAAAAGGTCTAGAAGGGGAGCAATGTGCTTAATGTTGTTATAAGAGTATATTTGCTGGCACATTCCCAAACTGATGATTAAATGTTTGTATCTTTATCCTACCAACATTGGCAGATGCTAGTACAAATGAAGTAAAATAAGATCTTACTCTTACTAGTTAATAAACTATGGTTTGCTATTGATAGGACAGAGCATCCTAGAAAAGATCTATGTGGTCACTCAGGGTCAACACTGACTTGATGGTACATAATCGAAAAAAGTAGAAAGGATGAAGAGTTTGGTTTTATAATTCTTGAATGCTGCTCACTTAAGCTCCCTTGTTCTATTGCTTTTAATATTGAATGTTTGCACTAGCTATTTTGTATTAGGGCAGAAGAGGTTCCAGATGCTTCTGTACTAAAACTTGCAGCAAAACTAGCCTGGGTTTATGTGTTTATTGTGATTTGTTATAGTGATCTGTTTTGTATTTATTTTTGATTTTGTTTTTTCGTTATTTTTTATTGATGTATTCCACTATAATTACAATTTGTGAGTGGGGTGGCCTTATAAAAACATCCCATATTCCATTCTCAAACTTTACATCAATATTTCTGCAGTTTCACTTAAAACTCAGTATTATTTCTGTATCATGAATCACATACCCTAGCACAGTTTGGGTAGAACTAGATATATGATTGCTGTTAAATAAATATTACAAGGTTAGGTTATGCTTTTAGTCAACTTTTAAAAACAAAACACTAACACGTCAGTTTCTAATGTACTGCATGCATGTACATCTATACATGGGAAAATAAAACAATCTGAATTTGGCATTGACATAAGCAGCTTCTTGATTGTCTAATGGTTGCTCAGTTTATGCAACTTTTTGTGTAAGAGCTTTGGAATTGGATGTCATCAATAGGCTAATGACACCAGCTCTTCTAATCTTCTTATCTTCTAATCCAGGGTAGTAATCAGTACCAACTGAATGTTGTCTAACCTCAGTAATGAGTTCGATGGGAGAACAAACTGAAATGAAACCCAGAGAAGTTGATGGTGTGTTGGTAACAAAAAAACTGATCTTGGGGTTGAGATAAAGTTCGCTCAGGATAGCTTTGTGTTCTCCCAGAAAGAGCAGCTTTGCAGCTTATGAATGCTCCTTGATCCCAAGCTGTCCCTGGATTTGCAAATGGTGGCTGTGTCTAGGAACACTTTTCCAGCTAGTGTACCAACTGTGATTCTTCCTGAGTTAGCCAGACTTAATATCAGTTATCTATACTTTGGTTATCAACCATCTTCATTACAGAAAAGTACTGTATGTGGGCGCATTCTTGAAAAGCTTCCAGAAATTGACATTGGTACAAAATGTGGCAGCCAGACTAGTGCAAATATAGGGATGACCAGTCCTATATTGAAAGATATCACTAGCTCCCAGTTGTCTACCAGACCATACAAGGTATTGGCACTGACTTTCAAGAACCTAAATGCTTTAAGCCCTGACTATGTCAGCCCTTTGAAGTAGGCAAGTTCAGGAAACAGACTTCTGGAACACTACTTTATTGTCATAGGATAAAATAACAGAGAAAAACTGGCAGAGATTGTCTTTCCCCTCTTATACTAAAGGGAATAAAAACAGGCCAAACTTGAGTTTTTTCTTCACCCCCTCCTAACTATCCTGGCTAAGCTGATGTTTACATAAAGGTTGCTGAATTCATTCTTCAAGGCCATCTCGGTATTCCTCTATGTGCAAGATCACTTGTCTTATAATGAACCTTCCCGGTCTCTCAAATCAACCACTTTGAAGATACTTCCACTGCCAGAATTAAGTCCATCAGGTATGCCAGAAGGTTCTTTTCCTGTATGATTCCCAGGCAGAAGAATGTACTCCCTAGGGAGATGGGTTTGGCCCTTAATACCCCAATATTTTGGAGGTTGGTAAAAGCACATTTCTTCTACCAAGTTTTAAACTGTTAGATTTAATTGTTCACATTGGAATTTTATCTGTATATTGGTTTCATTGTCACTTGTCTATATTTTATATTCTTGTTACTTTTATAGATAGAAAGGGAAGATTTAAATCCAATAAATAAATAATTAAGAAATGAAATTAGTTTGAAGAACTCCTATCAAAAATCTGTGCTAAGAAACATCTACTTCTGGAAACGCAAGAACGGGAAGAACTTGTTCTTTTGATCTAGTGTTCCCCTTTACAATACAACCTTGTGCTGTTCATCAGAGAGTTTGTGCCCTCCACTGAACTTGTTAGCAATCAGCCAGGCACAGCATTTTTGGGATAGCAGAATACTGAGTTTCTGTAATTAAAATGAAAAGAGCCTGGCAACATGGCTCTTTCATTTAAAATATGCCCAAAGCTGAGATATGCTGGATAGAAGGGTGCATCATCTATATTTTAGCAGACAGCACTGAACACTTCAAAGCTGAGAAATATATGAAAGAATACAATAATACACTCCATTATCTTATCACTGGCATTCTTCTTGCTGTCAACATTGTACACAGCACATCTTGCAGCAGGAAATTTATTGAATAGGCCAATTCAAAACTAAGCAATTTTTCATAATACTGCACTTTCTTTATAGTTTAGTGTTATTATTATATAGGAATTATACCCTCCAGTGTTTTTAATTTGTGGTAGTAAAATATATAGTCTTTTATCAACCAGTCATTCTGAAGAAAAAATGATCTGGCAAAACCTTTATGCCAGTGCTATGAGTACTACCTTACAGCTGACGCTGAGGGGAGGCTGGCTCAGTTATTTCACCTAGTCAAATCAATTCCCATAATCCATTCAGGCAGGGACATAGAATACTTACAGAATTTTGCTAATTATGCTCCGTATAAATGCTCCAACCAGGCATGTGTCCTCGCTTCAGTTGTATGCAAATATTTTCATCTCTCTTTTAAATACTAGCTTAATAGGCATTATAAGGCTATCTTGCCTCATGAAAACACCCTCTTTGCTTTCCTATTTGGAATAAAAATATTCTTGGTATCTTTGTATTAACTATGTTGGCACACAGCTAAGGCATTCATTTATACACATACATTCCTAATATTCAGGGCTGACTTCTGATTTTTTCCCTGAGGATATAAGGAATGTGGTCTTGACTTCCCCTTACTTAGAGATATCTAGGCCAGCCTGTGTAGCTCACATGACCTTTACTGCTTACTTTTCTGCCTGTTTGCTCATCCTCAGACCAATGCTGCAAGACAGCACATATCACATGAACAAAGAAGACACATGAACACCTAAGTGCCAACATTTCAGAACTCAATACAGGGACATACTGTAGTTATTTCACTGATGGGCCTCATACAGCACAACGTGCAACATCTTTCGTTCCACAAATAGACCCACTATGTATTTGATTTCTCAGGGCCTAAAGGGAAATAGCCTTTGGGAAAATCCAACCAAATATTCAAATATTTCTGACCCCAGAAATAAGCAAGGGTGCTATTTCCTGCATGTCAATGCAGAAGTAAGCAAGGGAATTACTTGAATAAATCTGTTCTCTGAATGCCTATTCAGAATGAGTCTTGCCAAATTCAGTGCAGCTAACCATGAATAAGATTGTAGGCCCCTTACAGAAGATTAAACAGTAAGCTTGCCACACAAATAACACAAGAGCAGATTCTTTACAAGCACACAAACACACACACACACCTTACAAAGCCAACAATGGAAACACTTTTTTCAATATATATAAGATCAGGATAAATTAGTATTTGCACAGTGCAACAACAATATGCCTGTTCAAATGCCAATTGAGTTCAATGAAGCTCATTTCCAGGTAAAAATAGGAGGATTATAGCCTTCTTCAACAAAACTAAATAATGCAAAGTAGCACTGATGGCTTTTACAACTTTGCAGCAGTTTCTGAAAAATGCCTAACCTATTTGCCCCACTTATGACCACTGGCTCATAATATATAGCATAAGGAAAGTATCATAAAGAAAATAATTCATGCTCAGGTTGCATCCACCAGAACTTTACCAAAGTCACTCACTAAGGCCGCTCACAAATCTGACTGCTCCTCTTTACCTCATTTCTCAAGCAAATAATTAAATCCTATGATGCTGGATGTAAAGGAAATAGACAGCTCAAAACTGCAGATTGGAGGTAATTTTTTATATTTTTATTTATTTTTATTTATATTTCAAATTTGTCACTGCCCATCTAACTGTGGAGTGACTCTGGGACGTTTACAGTAAAAATTAGCTTCCAGATAATATTATGCTTCCAGGACAAATTCTCCATTCATGAACATGAGCATGTCCAGAAGAAGCCCCCTAGATGGGAATAATAAAAGGAGTACAGGAGGATAGCATGAAGCCGTTAAAAATAAGGCCCCAATTTCAGCTGTTTCAGGTATAGGGTTTTGCTGTGAGAGTGTACTTTGAGAAATGTGGGGGAC